GAACAAGCCCTATGAGGAGCGGCTTAAGGAGCTGGGCATGTTTAGCCTGAAGAAGAGAAGGATGAGAGGAGATATGATAGCCATGTATAAATATGTGAGAGGAAGCCACAGGGAGGAGGGAGCAAGCTTGTTTTCTGCTGCCCTGGGGACTATAGAGCAATGGCTCCAAACTACAAGAAAGGAGATACCATCTGAACATTAAGAAGAACTTCCTGACTGTGAGAGCTGTTCAGCAGTGGAACTCTCTGCCCCAGAGTGTGGTGGAGGCTCCTTCTTTGGAAGCTTTTAAACAGAGGCTGGATAGCCATCTGTCAGGGGTGATTTGAATGCAATATTCCTGCTTCTTGGCAGGGGGTTGGACTGGATGGCCCATGAGGTCTCTTCCAACTCTTTGATTCTATGATTCTATGATTCCATAGTTTGACCAACTACAAGACTGCTTTTTGTATTTCTACATAGACCAGGAACAGACAGGAACAATCAGGACCAGCTAACACATCCCAACAAAAGATCCCCCAGGAAGCAATCAGCCAGACTTTGCAGCTGCAAGGCCATTCAATGCTAATCAAGCTGGCAAATTGCAACAATCAAAGATATATAAACCTCACTTGCCAAGTTTCCAACAGACCTCACAACCTCAGAAAGTGCCTGCCATAGATGTGGGTGAAATGTCAGGAGAAAATGCTTTTGGAACATGGCCATACAGTCCAGACAACTCGCAGTAACTCAGTCCTCACTCTGCTCTATGATTACCTTGCCCAAACACTATGATTCACCTAGTCTTTGCAATGTCCAGAAATCCACTCAGAATGTTAATGGCTTGGAGGAAATGAGCACATCAGAGCTGTACAATTGTCCTATGAACACATTTCCTAAAGATCTATTCCATATTTGTCACTATTAAAAAGCACGCATTGAGCTGTGCCAGGAATTGATTTCTTGCGCAAGATGGATTGGTCTGCTTTTCTCAGAAGGGGTGGCGTTCTTGTTCACCTGCAAACAGAGATGTTGTTTCCTTATACAAAAGGGGAAAGTAATTCCATCTGGGAAAGCTTGCTATTCAATCTATTGAAGGAACCGTGTCCGGCTCACATTTTATGGTTCTAATGAGCAGCGGGGGGTCAAGGGCAGAGAATTTCATTACTGTAAAGTTCATTTTTAAAAAAGCATTTTCTCAGCCTAATTAGGCAGAGAAAAAGTGTAAATATTATTGAAAAGAACAGGCATAAGAGATGCTGCATCACAAATGAGACAGCTGGATACCTTCAATGAGGGACAGGGGAAGGAAAAACAAAAGAGGCTTTTCAAACAAGGCCTCTTTCAACTGTGCCTGCATCTGCCTTTGTTCCTTCAAGCCTCTGCAGTCTCAGAAAATACACAAATTAATCCCAAAGATGAATGGGCTACAAGTTCTGGTAGACACTTTCCAAGTACAGAACAGTCAGGATCGATACAAGGCTAGATCTCCGTTACCTGAAATGAAATGATTGGGCCCAAAGGTTTTTCAGATTTTGGAATATCTCCAATACATTAGTGAGTAAACAGAGTAAAGGTAAAGACCTCCTGGACTCATCACTTATGCTTGAAGCTCGGGCGTTGGCGGTGGCTGGGAGGGCCTTTGCACAATTGAGACTCGTGCGCCAACTGTGACCGTACCTCGGGAAGGTGGATCTGGCCAGGGTAGTCACCTCCAGATTGGACTACTGTAATGCGCAGCGCCCAAACACGAATCAAGAAACATGAAAGGCACTGCAGACTACTTCAACCAGAGAAGTCAGCCATAGCACAGCACCTGATGAACCAGCCTGGACACAGCATATTATTTGAGAACACAGAAATGCTGGACCACACCAACAAACACCATGTCAGACTACACAGAGAAGCCATTGAAATCCACAAGCATGTGGACAATTTCAACAGAAAGGAAGAGACCATGAAAATGAACAAAATCTGGCTACCAGTATTAAAAAAACTCTAAAATTACAACAGCAAAACAGCAGAGAGGAAACAACCAGGTACATCTTAACACCTCTCAACAAAAGATTTTCCCAGGCTCAGCCAGGCCTTCAAATGCTAATGAAGGTGGTCAGTTGAAACATTCACACCTAGCTCCAGCAGAGAAGAGCTCTTTGCCCCACCCCAGCCATTCCACAGATATATAAACCCATTGTCCTAATTCCAACAGACCTCACTACCTCTGAGGATGCTTGCCATAGATGCAGGCGAAACGTCAGGAGAAATGCCTCTAGAACATGGCCCTATAGCCCAAAAAAACCCACAAGAACCTAGTGATTCCAGCCATGAAAGCCTTTGACAATACAATGCATATGCTCTTGCAAAAAAAAATTCAGCCTTTTTGCATTCTAAATTTCTGGCTACTCGGACGGGTCTTTTCAGGGGAGGATGGTGGCTATATTTTTATGCTCATTGTGTTAACTGCTTTTAAACAATTTTATATTAATGGTGTTTTAGTGCAATATTTTATTGAATTGCTTTTTAGTTGTCTTCATCCATCATTGGGGGTTTTATCTGATTTTAGTTTTAATCTGTATTGCGATTTCCCTTCAGTTCCATCTTGAAAGAAGCATGGTGTATAAATGTAATGAAATGTCATATCAATTTTACTCCCTTTCATAGCTCTCCAGAAACTTAATCTCTTTCCTCATAACTACCCATATATCAAAGTTGTTACTATGTAAAGCAAGATGTTCTTGGTCTGAAACTCACATCAACCATAGCTGTCAAAGTCAACGGGAAAGCTAGCACCTTTGAGACTAACATGGAAGAAGTTGCTAGTAGGCTTGTGCAATTCGGCTGGAGGACGACCCGTTTTTGGTATCCGAATTTTGTTGGGTAACCAGATCCATTTTTCGGGAGCCTCCCAAAAATCGGCTAATGGGGAAATCTGTTTTTGGCTAAGCAGCCAAAAGATCTGGAAACATCCTGGCCATTGGTGAGAATGGAAAACTTACGAGGCTCCCCTTTCCAAACCTGGGATTCTTTCCTTTCTACCTTTCAAGGGAATCTGGGTTTGAAGAATGGAATCAAGGAAGCATCCTTCCTGGGACCCTTTCCTATCTTTCTTACAAGGGAGTCTGGGCTTGAGCAACGGGATTAAGGAAGCACCCCTTCTGGGACCCTTTCCTATCTTATTTTCAAGGGAGTCTAAGTTTGAAGAACAGAGTTAAGGGAGCACACTTCCTGGGACCCTTTCCTAACTTTCTTTCAAGTGAGTCTGGGTTTGAAGAACAGGGTTAAGGGAGCACCCTTCTTGGGCCCTTTCCTATCTTTCTTTCAAGTGAGTCTGGGTTTGAGCAATGGAGTTAAGGGAGCACCCTTCCTGGGACCCTTTCCTATCTTCCTTTCTAGAAAGTCTGGGTTTGAAGAACTGGGTTAAGGAAGCACCCCTCCTGGGACCCTTTCCTATCTTTCTTTCAAGTGAGTCTGAGTTTGAAGAACAGGGTTAAGGGAACACCCTTCCTGGGACACTTTCCTATCTTTCTTTCAAGGGAGTCTGGGTTTGAAGAACAGGGTTAAGGGAGCACCCTTCTTGGGCCCTTTCCTATCTTTCTTTCAAGTGAGTCTGGGTTTGAGCAATGGAGTTAAGGGAGCACCCTTCCTGGGACCCTTTCCTATCTTCCTTTCTAGAAAGTCTGGGTTTGAAGAACTGGGTTAAGGAAGCACCCCTCCTGGGACCCTTTCCTATCTTTCTTTCAAGTGAGTCTGAGTTTGAAGAACAGGGTTAAGGGAACACCCTTCCTGGGACACTTTCCTATCTTTCTTTCAAGGGAGTCTGGGTTTGAAGAACAGGGTTAAGAGAGCATCCTTCTTGGGCCCTTTCCTATCTTTCTTTCAAGGGAGTCTGGGTTTGAAGAACAGGGTTAAGGGAGCACCCTTCTTGGGCCCTTTCCTATCTTTCTTTCAAGTGAGTCTGGGTTTGAGCAATGGAGTTAAGGGAGCACCCTTCCTGGGACCCTTTCCTATCTTCCTTTCTAGAAAGTCTGGGTTTGAAGAACTGGGTTAAGGAAGCACCCCTCCTGGGACCCTTTCCTATCTTTCTTTCAAGTGAGTCTGAGTTTGAAGAACAGGGTTAAGGGAACACCCTTCCTGGGACACTTTCCTATCTTTCTTTCAAGGGAGTCTGGGTTTGAAGAACAGGGTTAAGGAAGCACCCTTCCTGGGACCTTTCCTATCTTTCTTTCAAGGAAGTCTGGGTTTGAAGAACAGGGTTAAGGAAGCACCCTTCCTGGGCTCCTTTTCTTTCTTTCTTTTTTTCTTTCTTTCAAGGGAGCCTAGGTCTGAGGAACCGGATTAAGGAAGTATGTGCCACGTCCTCCCAAAGAGAAGGGAAGAAGCCATGCCTGGCAGCCACGTGGGCTGTTTCAGCCAAAAAAAAAACCATGGCGACTGAGCCCTTACCATTATGGATACCCAAACAAGCCGAACAAGACGAATTGGTTGAAGGAAATAGACCAATCCGAATCCGTGCACAAGCCTAGTTGCTAGCCTTAGCTTTTGTAGACACAGTCCATTTCATCACAGGCAACTGAATCCACAAAACCTTCATTATCCCAATTAATCTCAAAGGTTCCATTGGATTTCTTTATCTGCCTACATTCCACCACAGACAAGCATGGCTATCTCTTTGAATATTAGTAAAGCCAATGGTGGAGTGTAATGAACCTTGTAGTCTATCAGATGTTTCCCAATGCCTGCTGTTAAGCCTTAGGTCCAAACTAAATCAGACCATAGATCTCTTACAGTTTGTCTTGCTCAGCTCTGATCTAAAGCTTTTCCTAAAGACAGAATATCTATTTGAAAAAAAGATTACAGCCTCCTAACACTCTGTAAAAGTCCACCAGGTCAGCAACAGAAATGCACAAGCAGACAGAGTGCACAAAATATCAGGCACATTGTGGAGCTTTCTCCCTGAACATTTATTGATCTTCTACGGATCACCGTTCATGCCTTCAAGCATACAAACAAGTAAGCTTTGTTACCTGGATCACCTTCTTCCGTATCTTCAGGTTTAACGAGAATACAAATATGCTTCCGTAGCTGCCGAGAATTGGAGAACTTTCGGTTGCACTTTCGGCACTCCAAGCTGTCAGGCGGAACCTCTTCCTGCCCTCCCGCTTCTTCGGGTCCTGGCGGCACATCTTCATTTGGAGGGCAGTTGCTGCTTTCTGCCAATTCTTCATCAACATAACATTTCTTAGTTGATCCCTTTGGTCTGCCTCTTTTTCTCTTCACAACATGGAGCTCTGTTGAAGAAACATTAAAAAGCCGTTCTGAAGTGGCAGCATACAGATACTCAACGTTGAGAACATTCAACACTACTGCTTAACATCATTTTGGAAAAATGCATTCCAAATATATCTAAGTTACAGATATAACATTTCTGGAAATACTGAAGCCATGAAGGAATATATATATATATATACATGGCATTGAATCGTTCCCTATATATTAAGCTGCCTATGGAGTTGAGAAAGGTGGGCATAAATACAGTGTGTGTATATATGTATGTGTGTATGTGTGTGAGTATGCAATCAATCAATCAAAAATAGTTTATTGTATGGGCCCAAGGCCATGACAAAAAGCACCACATGCGCACAATAGTACCCTCAGAGTACAGGCACCAAAGATGCTAAACAGAACCATAATTTGCTCCCACAACAAAAACACTGAAAGTTAATATGTATGCAATCATTAATCCCCTGTACAGTTTGAAAGCAGTTTTGTTCTTCTAGGAAAATGAAGTGAATTACATATATCTGGTTCTGAAATAAAACGGTGATATTTCATATCTATTAAAAGTTAATGAAGGGTTAACTAGGATGCAGATCAATGGCTTCAAACTACAAGAACGGAGATTCCACCTGAACATGAGAAAGAACTTCCTGACTGTGAGAGCTGTTCAGCAATGGAACTCTCTGCCCCAGAGTGTGGTGGAGGCTTTTTAAAAAAGGCTCGGTGCCCATTTATCGTTGGGGGTGCTTTGAATGCAATTTTACTGCTTCTTGGTAGAATGGGGTTGGACTGGATGGCCCAAGAGGTCTCTTCCAACTCTACGAAGATCACAATCAAAGCACCTCTAACAGATGGCCTTCCAACCTCTGTTTAAAGCCTCTAAGGAAGGAGCTTCTGCCAGACTCTGAGGAAGAGTTCCACTGCTGAACAGCTCTTACAGTCAGGAAGTTCTTCCTAATATTCAACTGGAATCTCTTTTCCTGTAATCTGAACCTGTTGCTCCAGAGAGAAAACAAGCAGGCTCCCTCTCTTCCTATTGACATCTTTCCACATATTTATACATGGCTATCAGGTCTACTCTCAACATTCTCTTCTGCAGGCTAAACATACTCAGCTCTTTAAGAAATTCTTCATAGAACACAGTCTCCACACCTTTGATCATGCAAGTTGCCCTCCTCTGGACACCTTGTCAATATCTCTCTTAAATTGTGGTGCCCAGAACTGGACACAGTATTCCAGGTGAGGTCTGACCAAAGCAGAACAGAGAGGCACCATGACATCCCTCTGTCTAGACACCATACTCCTTTTGATGCAGCCCAAAATCCCATTGACCTTTTAAGCTGCTGCATCACATTGTTGCCTCCTGTTAAACTTGTTTTCCACCACGACTCCAATATCTTTTTCACCTCTACTGTTGTTAAGCCAGACATCACCCATCCTGCAACTATGAATTTCATTTTTTGTGTTTAAGTGAAGTATTTCAACTTTTTTTTCCATGTCAGGAGTGAACTGAGAAACTGCAAGTCACTTCTGGTGTGAGAGAATTGGCCGTCTGCAATAATGTTGCCCAGGGAACACCCGGATATTTTACCATCCTGTGAGAGGCTTCACTCATATCCCTGAATGAGAAGATGGAGCTGACAGATGGGAGTCCACCCTGCTCCCTGTATATGAACCGCTGACCTTTTGGTCAGCAGTCTTGCCAGCACAAACAAGGATTTATCCCATTGTGCCACCGGGGACTCCTAGTATGCCAACTGAAAAGTGGGAAGAACTACCTGATGGTAAGAGCTGTTAAATGGTGGAATATGCTGCCTGGGATTGTGATGGAATCTCCTTTTCTGAAGGATTTTAAGCAGAGGTTGGATGGACATCTGTTGGGAGAAATTTTATTACTGTATATACTCGAGTATAAGCCTAGTTTTTCAGTCCCGTTTTTAGGCAGAAAATACTCCCCCTCAGCTTATACTCGAGTCAAGATTATTTATTATTTTACTCTATTATTAGTATTATTTTTATTACATGTATTAGGTTATTCCATTTATTATTATTTTACTGACACAAAAACACAGTACGTCACAGCAAATGCGATATATATGCTGGATTTCGTATCATAAAATCACAAGTCGAACATTATTATTATTATTATTATTATTATTATTATTATTATTATTATTTTACTACTAGCTATCCCCTGCCATGCGTTGCTGTGGCCCAGTCTGTGTATATGTGTTTTATGTATATGTGTGTATATATGTGTGTGTGTGTGTATTTGTGTATAAGTGTATATAAGTGGTTTTGCGTATGCGTTATAATATATTTTTTATTTTACTTTTTTAGCTTTTTAAGTCTCTTCTGCTGTGTTTTTTAGTGTTTTTATGAGTGATGGTCACTCGTTGGCCTAATAGGTGTATTGAGTCCAAATTTGGTGTCAATTCGTCCAGTGGTTTCTGAGTTATGTTAATCCCACAAATGAACATTACATTTTTGTTTATATAGATTATTACATTTACATTATTTTACTCTATTATTATTATTATTATTACTATATTTATTACTTTACTCTATTTATTATTGTTATTATTACATGTATTATTTTTCTCTATTATTTTATTGCATTTATTAGTTTACTCTATTTATTATTGTTATCATTACATTTATTATTTTACTCTATTATTATTATTACATTTATTATTTTACTCTCTATTATTATTGAAAGGATGCATAAGCACATTTACATTGAAAAAGGTGAGAATAATGGCATAATCGGAGTTGGACAGTCTTACCTTAAATTACAGTTTTATGTAAATATTCAAAAACATTGAACCTACGTATGCCTCAATTAATGTCATGATATTGGCATCTTTTTTGGTTTTGAAATTTCCCAGTAGCTGCTGCATTTCCCACCCTCAGCTTATACTCAAGTCAATACGTTTTCCCAGTTTTTTATGGTAAAATTAGGTGCCTCGGCTTATATCCGGGTTGGCTCATACTCGAGTATATACGGTATGTGTTTCTGCATGGGTTGGATTGGGTGGCCTGCCCTTGTGGTCTCCTCCAACTCTGATTCCATGATTCTACTGTGATGGTCAGCGCTATTGCCGCTGAAAACAAAGTACCTCGTTTTTGTCCAAGCTTTAATTTTTCAGTCCTGATTCTTTTCCTGTCTCCCAGATTACAATTGAGGAACCCCTGCTGCTGACAGCAATGCAGATATGAGAGAAGCATTCCCTTCTGCCAGATTAATATTTGCAGTGATGACATTTCAAGAAGATGGAAAAAATAAACTACCATAGGACAACAATTTTTGTATCAATTTTTCCAAACTGCATTTCTTGTCCAACCGTCATCCAATCATTTCGTAATGGTTTAAATTCTGTTATTGTGCACGCATTCATGGATGCTGGAAATAAGTGCTAAAAAAAGGAAAGCCACAGCTATTGTACTGAGAAAAACATGTTTCCACTATTCCTTTGAGGTTGACTTAGATGCTACTGCATGGAAATTCATTTTGGAGGCAGGGAAGGAGTGATTCAAAGCACATAAGGGATTTGTTTTGTTTTATTTCGACAAAAAGGACCACACATTTACAGCCATCCCCCATTTTACTTCAGTTTGCACACAAAGTATATTGTGTCACTTTAAAAATGCACACTTATCAGACTATGCTTGTAAGTGTAAGGTTTCGACTGGCTAATTTGCATCTAAGAATAGACTGTAAGCCTACTGATTTTACTTTTGTTACAGCCCTTTGAAATTCTGAACACTTCAGAAACAATACAGTGTGATGAATGGCAATCAAACGAAGCCATGCTGCCCCCAGGAACAGGCCTTAACCAAACACATACACAAGTCTAAAGAATAGGTGTGAAGGGGAAAGACTAAACACGGGCAATGTGGCATCGTGTAATTCCGAGACTTCACTTATTCACAAAGCAGCTAATCTTAAAGGTCCCATTTAGTAGAATAATCAAGAGGGAATTAAGAACACTTGAGAAAAAGAACCGAGTACTGTTCTAGAGTTTGGAAAAAGTCCGAAATTTGAAATGGAAAAATGAACACATGCAGTCAGTATCCGCTAAAATCAGACCACACTGCCTTAACATGATTTCACAGTTTATATTTAATGACACTGTGGTTGAATTATATAAAGAAATCCTTTGGAGAGGATATATAGGCGACCAAGACGCCATACGTAATGGCAGTGTGATGTGATGTCGCCGTTTGGGTTTTAGAGGGATTTGAAGAAGTCTAATGTATTAAATATATTACACTCTGTAACACGATATTTGTTCCTGGGTTATAAATGTTATTTTCTAATTTGCTCTACCATAAAAAGCATGAAAAAGGTATATTACAAAACTCTGTTTTTGAAAGACATCCTGTGTTGCACTCCAGGACAGGAAAAGCCCTCTAACTGTGAACACCACACAGTTGATTGGAAAACAATCCTTTTATTGAAGATAATTAAAAAACAGCAAGTAAAAAGCAGTTAAAAGAAATAGGTAAATCCAATAAGGTACAAAGATAAGCAGGAGCAAAAATAGTCCAGAGTAAAGTTCAGCAAAGTCCATAAAAACAAAGTTCACCCTTCTCTAATACAATTTGGAAAACCAGGAAACATTAATCCAAGGCATGGGTATGCATGCATACAATCCAAGAATCCAAACCATGAAACAAGAAAAAACTTAGATAAGAATCTTCCAAGCAAGGCTTCCATAAAACAAAGACGGGAACTACACTTGATTCCAAATGATGCTTCATCTGACTATATTTCCCACACTTGGAACTTTTATCCGCCTCATTAAGCTATCCCAAGCACTCATAGAATCATAGAATCAAAGAGTTGGAAGAGACCTCATGGGCCATCCAGTCCAACCCCCTGCCAAGAAGCAGGAATACTGCATTCAAATCACCCCTGACAGATGGCCATCCAGCCTCTGTTTAAAAGCTTCCAAAGAAGGAGCCTTTTAAACACTCAGAAATTGGTTGTGCTTTAACTGAGATTCCC